TGTTGCGCTACGTTGCGTCGCATTGTCGCAATGGAACAACACATTGTACACTCCACCAGGACTGCGACAACGCCCGACGTAGCGGCGTAGCTGCGTCTGAGTTCATCCTCCTCCACCGCAATGGAAAACGTGATGACTGTATGTCGACGCAGCGCATAACCAAATACTCACAGTTACATGCGTTGAATATGCCAATCATCAGGATGAGAATCACCTGTAATTAAAAAAATGCTTGTTGAAATATTTTGTTCTGTATAATAGGACAATGACAATAATGTGTGCTTTGAGTGCGGGAGTGCCATACTTCGACACGAACGAACCGGCTCAACCGGAATGATACCACGGCCTGACAGAAAACCGACGCCGAACAACGTTTGCGTTCTGTTGAGTTCTCCGGGAGCAGTCATTTGCTTACCATCAGGTGATGTATCTGTTCGTTTACCGGCTTATCCCATAAAAAAGACATAACTATAATTGCAAAAACCCAACAGGCCTCATCCAGGGCGGGAGGAGTCATTCAATGCTAATTTACATCTAACCAATGAATAAATAAGTAAGAATACTTACGAAGACCTTCATGGCAGGTGGAGGCAGTGGAGGCTGCGAGTGGCGGTAGCTATGGTCAGTAGATCAGTACTAACGCCGTGGCTGTTCCCACTTCGGCTCAAGTACTCTTTATTTATTTAGTCAGACATTTTATTACTATTATATCTAATGCTGGGAACAGCCCTGAGCATTAGATTAGGGCTGTTCCCAGTTTATTAGTATTAACTAATACACGTTTATTTTCTCACTAGTGATAATTTCGGGTTTCTCCTAAACTGATGTGTTATTGTAATTAATAGGAAACCACTAGTTTATCTACATATATATCAAAATAATAAAAATGAAGATGATAAATAATATTGTTACGAATAATATTATTTATCATCCTCATTTTTACGAGTAATCCAACGTCACACCTCAGAGAATACCGACACCGAGTATACGTATAAGGGGGCGTTCATAAATATTACGTAGGGTGTTTTTTTTAATTTTCTGTCTCTCCCTCCCCCTTTGGTGAGATTTCGTGAGATTTTATTCAACACCCTCCCGCATCCCTCAATCTCACGTGAGATTTTTCAAAACCTTGGTTTTTCACGTAAACGCGTTGGATTGTTACCGTAAAAAGAAAAAAAAATCATGTGCATGAACAATTAAATCTTAAGCATGTACAATCTGGATTAAATGAACTAAAATAGTATAACTTTTTTATTTCAATCCGAAAAAAAATTACGTGATATTTGCCGAGGGGTCTCTCCAACATAAGATTAGGTGAGATTTGAGTCTACCCCCTCCCCCTTAAACATCTCACGTAATTTATGGACGCCCCCTAAATACACATCTCGGAAGACTATTTATAAACAAATGTGGATTTCCCAGTGACCTGAGAGCCCATGATAAACGCCAGGAGTCATGAAACGGTCACCTTAGCCGAAACCAGCATGAAAGGATTGTCTGATCATCTATATAAATAAAACATTAATTTCCCTTTTTTTTATGGCATAAGCCGGTAATCGAGCAGACGGATCACCTGATGGTAAGCAATCGGCGTCGCGTATGGACACCTGGAACACCAGAGGCGTTACAAGTGCGTTACCGGCCTTTTGGGGATTAGGAGTTTGAGGATCGTTGGGGATTCAGGATTTGGGAAGATTGGGGAAGGGGACGGTAATTGGGCCTCCGGTAACCTCACTCACATGACGAAACACAACGCAAGCGTTACTTCACGTCGGTTTTCTGTGAGACCGTGGTATCACTCCGGTGGAGCCGGCCCATTCGTGCCGAAGCATGGCTCTCCCACACTTAACTACCACACCTTCGTTAGTCTCACTTAAACTCGAGAACGGCTGAACCGACTTGGCCAATTTTGGCCTTGAAATGTTCGTGGGAGTCCAGGGAAGGTTTAAAAAGTGAAAATAATATTTTTTATAGGTACAAAGTTGGCCGGGTTAGCTGGTTATAAATAAATGTTATTGAAAGATAACGAATTAAATTATGTCATTAAAATACTAAGTATCATTCTGATAGTGAATAAGATGATATTTATTAATAGAATGCCTCGTTGGTTGAGCGGTTGTAAGTGCGACTGCCGATCAAGCGGTCTGGAATTCGATTCGGGTCGGGAAAATTGTATTTTCGATATCTCGAAAATTCCCGTTATAACACAGAGTCAATACTTAATTGTGTCAGGTATATGGCAATAGACTCAGCCCCAATTATTTACACCCATAACTTATGGTCTTGTTATATTTAATATTTATTTTAGTTCGCGTAGAATAGTGATTCACAGCTCCTCCCTTGTAGGTGATAACGTTATCACCTACAAGGGAGGAGCTGTGATAATATGTAGCCTATATGTTGATCCCATATATCGTAGTGGCCTGGAGGTTTAAGACGCCCGCATCGCATGCGTGAGGGTGCGCATTCGAAACCTATACCGACGGCAGGTACTAATATAAATTTTTCGAAGTATATGTACTTTCTAAGATTATTCAGACACCACTGACAAACGGTGAAGGAAAACATTGTGAGGAAACATAAGTTTGAAATCGCCAACCCGCATTGAGCAAGCGTGGTGATTAATGCTCAAACCTTTTCCGTGTGGGAAAAGGCTTTGCTCAGCAGTGGGCATTATAGGCTGTTGATGTGATGTTGACCCGACCTGTAAGTAATATTTATGCTAAATTGGAAGTAAATCCATGCAGTACTTTTTGAATCTAGCTCGGGCATACATACAGACAAACAGACAAAAATTCTAAACACGACGACAATCGACTTTAGGACGCTCCAGACCAGCAATGTAGTGTGGGAGAGCCATGCTTCGGCACGAATGAGCCAGCTCGACCGGAGTGATACCACGGCCTCACAGAAAACTGCCGTGAAGCAATGCTTGCGTTGTGTTTCGTCGTGTGAGTGAGGTTACCGGAGGCCCAATTACCCTCCCCTTCCCCAATCTCCCCAATCCCTGAATCCCCAACGATCCTCAAACTCCTAATCCCCAAAAGGCCGGTAACGCACTTGTAATGCCTCTGGTGTTCCAGGTGTCCATGGGCGACGCCGATTGCTTACCATCAGGTGATCCGTCTGCTCGATAACCGGCTGACCCCATAAAAAAACACCATATTTTTGGCTTCGATGTCGATGGTAGATCACGGACCAGACACGGACGGAGCATTGTTCAAAAAAAATTCAAGGTAAGTTTTCATTTTCCTACGATTTTATGATCTGTGTTATTATGTATATATGTACGTACTGGTTAAATTTTACAGTCATAACGGCTAAAAAACCAATAACAGTGAATGTATTTTAATTATGTGTACCTCTGCTTAATCCTCCACGGAATAAAAAGTATAACGATATATTATTGTTTCGTTATCAGGCCGGGTCCTATTTCATTATATTGATCTCTTGACCTCATTGTATTATTAATATAATTAAATTATGTTATTTTGTTACACATCGTAAACATTTGATTGTTTCGTTGGTCTAGTGATTGTAATTGCGACTGTTTAGCTAAAGGACTTGAGTTAGATTTTCGGATCCGTAGTTATTAGGTATTTAGATTTTTAGTACAAGCTTGTATATCTCTATTGAAACTAACTAGTGAATAAGATGATGTTTATTAATATA